GGAGCCGCAGTATAAGGACAAAAGAGCCGCATGCGGCTCCAGAGCCGCAGGTTGCCGACCCCTGGGCTAGACCGTCCCATTTCACAACCCTCTCACTTCCGCACTTCTCGTATTTATAGTGCGCACCGTACGTAGTACGCGTAGTGCATGTACTTCAAGCAAGCAGACCCTGAATTGGGACACAGCCTACATCATGAAGCCCACTGAGAGAAGGCCAAGGGTGTACAGCACCATCAACAAAGCAAAGTGTGGCTACTTTCAGGAATATAAAATATAAAACACATTTAGAGTTTTTTATCCATTTCTTCTCTTTGCTACATAATTTAATATATCTTGCTTCATCTATTTGATGTCTTCAGCATGCATCTACAATATAGAAAATAGGAAATACAATGAAAAACCATTAAATGACAAGGTGTGTCCAAACTTTTGATTGGTAGTTTACTACTCTGAGGAGATCCCAAGGCAGACACTTGACACATTTACATACACGCTTATGCAAAGTGCCCTCTGCTGGATGAACTATGCAACCTCAGCACTCATAACTTGGTTAAAGTGCATTTCTCCCATCTTTTTGCTTTTTAATTGATCAGCCATTTAGCAAATAGGCATTATTGGGCCCACTGATTTTTCGTCACCACTCACCCTATCTGGTCTCCAGCTCTGATGGACCGACTGGAGAAGAAGGCTATCCGGGGGAAGCGTAAGTCCTGGTGCATGGTGAACACCCTCACAGCCAGCAGGTTGGGCTCACACAGGTGGTTGATGAAGCGACCAATGTTGCCAAAGAGTCTTGCATCAATACAATGGGCATCCCCAACCTGCACACATGTTAAAAAAACAAACCAAAAAGAAAAAAAGGAAAGTAAAATTTGTATCCTGCTAATGACTGCCTTTTGATAAGATAGATGTTAGAAAAAGGTGACACCCCCATGATGAAGTTGAAAGAGCAAAAAAACACATGATCAGCTTATACAAAAGCAAACAGTTAATCTAGATTTTATCAACAGTTTTGCTCACAGCAGCAATTCATTTCCAGAATAGTTGGACTGAATGAAGGTGCTGCAATAGTCCTGTCAAAGTCAAGTTTTCAACCTTATTGAAATGCTGTGGCAGGACACTAAGAGCTGTTCATAAACAAATGCCTGGAAACTGAAGTAATGTTGTGAAAATTAGTGGGCCAAAATTTCTCTAAAATGACCTGAGAAACTAAGTCAGAAAGACCAAAATCTAAAAGGAAAGCTTTAACCCTAGTCTTAAAAGTACAGAGGGTGTCTGTTTCCTGAATCCATACTGGAAGCTGAAGGCTGTGCCTCTCATCCTACTTTTAAATACTGTAGAAACCACAAGTAAGCCCGCAGTCTGAGAGCGAGGAGCTCTGTTGGGGTGATACAGTACTACAAAGTAGAGATGGCACGATACCACTTTTTTATGTCCGATACCGATACC